ATCATGAATAGGGGTTTACTACTAAAGGAAAAGTCATGATACAGAGCAAATTCAGCTCTTAGAGACATCGACTTTACAACCATCTGTAGGTCTAAAGTAGTTTATAAATCCTTAGTCAGCCTCAATGAGGGCAGAACAAGGTATATCACTGCTGTCGTCATGAAACCTGTCTAAACTTGAACTGTACTTCCATGACTCTAGATTTCCCTAATTTCAATTAACCTAACTTAACTTGGACCCAAGTACTAATTTAACCGGGCCTCCAGTGGTCCCTGCTTGCAGTTCACCAAAGTAACTTGGACTAGGTATTCTCTAACACTTCATTACTGCATGCTTCACACCTCTCACAAAGGAAAAGTGTGGTTAATAAATCAGTTTTTACCACAGTTCACTGTAACTTGACCCCTTTTCATAGGTTACGGTGCTTACATAGCTATGAAACGGGCTGTTTGCAGTGGATTGAAGTAACAACCCTTAAAGAAAGGGGAGATAATAAGTTAGAAATGATTTAGTCAAAACTACAGATGGAAGGGTCAATTTTAATTATACTAAATATACTTGAACATTCATTATAGTGTCATTACAAATCATTGATTCTCGCATAGTTAACAACTTATGTTTTATTTTATTTTTTTATTTCCTTGTCACAAGAATTTGAAACATTCTCCTCTTTTTCTGAAAAACTATATGTAATCTGTAGGAGCTAGACTGTGAATTTCCTTGATCATAAAATGACACATTATTTACCCGATCACTGTTCATCTATTAAAAGGTCCAATTGATAAATCCAATAAAATCCTAGAGATGTTACTGGGTTAATCAACAGCCTTGAGAAATTACTGGGTTTATCAACAGCCTTGAGAAATTACTGGGTTTATCAACAGCCTTGAGAAATTACTTGGTTTATCAATAAAAACCCTAGAGATATTACTGGGTTTATCAACAGCCTTGAGAAATTACTGGGTTTATCAATGAAAACCCTAGAGATATTACTGGGTTTATCAATGAAAACCCTAGAGATGGTACTGGGTTTATCAACAGCCTTGAGAAATTACTCGGTTTATCAACAGTTTTGAGAAATTACTGTGTTTATCAATAAAAACCTTGACAATTTCTGGGTTTACCAATTTATGATAATCCTTTAGATATTACTTAGTTTACCAATGAAAACCCTAGAGATGTTACTGGGTTTATCAACAGTCTAGAGAAATTACTGGGTTTATTAACAGCCTTGAGAAATTACTGGGTTTATCAACAGCCTTGAGAAATTACTGGGTTTACCAATGGAAATCCTAGAGATATTACTGGGTTTATCAACAGCCTTGAGAAATTACTGGGTTTATCAACAGTCTTGAGAAATTACTGGGTTTATCAATAAAAACCTTAACAATTTCTGGGTTTACCAATTTATGATAATCCTTTAGATATTACTTGGTTTACCAATGAAAACCCTAGAGATATTACTGGGTTTATCAACAGCCTTGAGAAATTACTGGGTTACCAATGAAAATCCTAGAGATATTACTGGGTTTACCAACAAAAACCTTGGGATATTTCTGGGTTTACCATTAAATACCTAGAGATATTATTGTTGAAAGTTTTTGGTTTAGACAGGTTTCAGTGTACATCAAACTGGGCTGCTGCTTCAAATTCAGATGCTACATAATGTTTGGTCATGACTGTCCAAATTATTGTAATTCTTGTTTTGTTTTTAACCTTGTTTTGTCCTATGATTCTGCCCGTCATATTTAGTATGCACTAAATTTGTAAAAATGAAAATTTCATCTTAAACACCATGTTTACTATGAAAATATCTGGAATCATTTTTGTTTTTTGTGCATATGAACATCATATAAATTTGCACTGGTGAAATGAGTGTCAATTAAACGCATTCGACCGCCATTGTTGTGGTGACTTATCCGAGACCATTGCATGCTTCAGGTTTATGTTTTGTTATGAGCAGTAGGGACAAGTTGAGAAAAACATGGTAATACTGAGGTTTTCCTGCACTCTACATAAAACACATGTTAATTGATGTATGCATCGCTGGACTAGTCTTTTTCGGTATGCTATTTCATACAGGATTTTGTTTTTTGTAGTTTTAGCTATCTCATTATAATGGGCATTCACATTACATGATACTAGGTAGATACAAGATAATCTTGTGAAAAAATGAAAATTTGAGTACCATAAACACGTCTGTATTGTCTCCCTTTACCAAGAACAAATCAAATTGTTAACCAAATGTAACAAAACATTGCTTGGAGGTAGGAAAGATTTTCTAGGATATCTACTGAACTCAGCTTTAATATTAAGAGTATAAACTAGAAGCTTAAAATAAAGGATTCATGTAGAACTTAGCATTTTGTAAAGGAATCAGTTAAGGGAGGATTTACTTAAAGGGAGATAATTTGGTCGATTGGCCATTTCTATTATTTTTCTTCTCATGTTCATTTTGTAGTCTAATCAAAACATGTTAATCCCAGATGTTAAGGAACTAACATCAACATAAATACAAATGAGTTGTAGTCTAATGTGAATAACATATTTGGAGAAAAAGAATAGAATATAAAAGAAAGTGTTTAACACTTTGGCCAAATGAGTTTAGGTTTAATTTTAGTTATGAAATTTTATTAGTTAGCATTGGTAATCAGATTAACTTTAGATAGCATAAATTTGTTAATGATTGCTAATTATATCATGTCTAATAAGTATACTGTCATTTTTTCTTTCTTATTTTTTGATAAGAATTCTGTAATACATATAGTTATTTCAGAGAATGGTTTTCATTGTACAATCTTGTGACATACGACATTCAGATTTTGAAAGGTCAGAAGAAAAAGATGGCAGCCTCAAAAAATTATTTGAGGGTGAACATAAATCACAGACCTTAAGTCCTTTGATTACATGTAGAGTCCAGAACCCTATAGTGATGTCCATTCTCTGTAATATATACTGATACATGTCCAAATGTATTTCATTGTAAAACATGTGTATCACATTCTCCTGCATTCTGACACAACCTAAAAAACATGATAAAAAACTTGTTACCTTTTATATAAATGTATAAGATGAATCAGCTTAGTAGTATTTATTTTAATGCATTGAATATGAGCTCCAAGTTAGTTAAGTAGGGACTGTTGTGCCATGGATACGTTTTACATGATCACTACATTTAGGCAGAGGATATTTTTCAGATATAGAGCCTTTTTTAATTGGTTTCCTGGTAAAATTTGTGTGGCTGGAAAGTTCAATTCAGACACCAAGTGAAATTGTTTATTCTTCATATCCATCTAGATTTATTTAATAAATCTGGTTGGTAATCATTCCAAGCCACATATACAAATATACAAGGGAGGTAATTCATTCGTATAATTACTGGTGAGGACATGTGAGAGTGAGTACACCTACATGTCTTGTTTTGATTGGTTGAACCTGTGATATGTTAATTAGCCTTTGTCTGAAGTCTATGTTATATTAACTCAGTGATGTAGGTGAACCTCAGGCCTTGCTCAATTACAGCTTGATTTTATTGATTGCATCTTATTAGTTTTATCCATCTATACTGAGAAGTTGTTAAAACTTATATTTGGAGCTTTAATTTGATATGATTTTATACAAAATTTTTAGTTTTGTCCTCAAACATTAAATTCAGCTTTTTAATGGGAGATCAAATGGTTAGGTTTTGCTGTGGTATTTACCTGGTTTAAGGGTGAGTGACAGGCTTAATATTCTTGCTTTCTCCCCACTCTTTCATCCATGTATTCATGTTAAATTTCATAAGGCCTGTGCTTTACTGACATCATCAGGGGAATGTTACATTGCACACTCTCAGTTAATTGTTGATCAGACAATAAAATATATTTAGCAAAGCAATTTGTAAAAAATGTGTTGTTTTTTTATTGAAGTTTTACAACTGTTATCATCTTCATACTCTAACTGCATATCTATGGAACAAGTTTTCAATCATTCTTTGTGACATTTTAATCAGCTTTGGATATTTTGAATTTTAACTTGATGTATTCACTACTGATATTCAAAATTGAATGCAAAACGAAAAAAAAAAAACATAACAGGCACCTAGAGCTCTATGATATCTTTTCTGACGATTCACAAATCTTTCCAGTCCATTTTGTCACAATCACAAACTCAAGTGGCTGGCTAAAACTTAACTCTCTATTCAATATCCCAACCATATCACCCAGTTTCCAGATGTGACCATCTAAAACCTTGTTTAGATATCCAGATGAAGAATTCCTCTAAGAAAATTGATGAATATGATATGTTGTAAAGTCTAGATATATTAGTAATAACAGTAATATTGCATGCCATTTAGATATTTGTGATAATTTGACAGCTTTCCTGTACCACCATATACTGTATATGTTAACACTATCAAATTTTCAGAGGGAAAAATGAAATGGAAAAAAACGGGGCAAACTGATTATTTAATCAAATATGTAATTCTACACTTCATGACATGCACCCCTCCACAGAAGTGTTGTTTGTTCATGAGGAAGTTGAAGAATGGACCAGTCTGTGTTGTCAAGGTTTTGTCCTTGGACAAAACATTTTCCAACATTTGTTGTAGATGGCATAGGCCTCCTGTTTGTTGTTCAGTGAGGTAGCCACCAGTAGCTACTACAAGGTGACAGCTTCTGAAACAGATGTTGTTGAGGGGGCGATAAACTTCGTATATCTAATCTGGTAAAACTACAAGGGTGTTTCACGTTTGCAATCAACTTTTTGCACACCTTAGCATATTCAAAAGGATCCAATCATTTCTACTATATTCATGACAAGAATTCTGGTTTTTGTTTTACTAATAATCAAAATTCATACTTGTGAGAGGAATTCAAATCCACAATAAATTTTAGAGTACACTGAAACAAGAAGGAAAGAAATTGATTGTCAATTACTGGGTTTCGCTGAAGTATCCATATCTGTATAATTACTGGGGAATGACAGATGGCAATAATGAAGGACGAGTAAACAAACAATGAGTGACAAAAATAATTTATTTCACAATTATGCAATTTCAACAGGTATTTTGTGTTTTTGTGGATTGTTGAAGGAAAGTGCATGTGTAGGGATCACTTCTTTGTGAAAGTTTTATAATTCCAGTTTTTGTTAATGCCCTGGTAAAGAGTTTCGTTGGCCTGCCATAGGCCTGACCATAGATGAGTAATCAAAAATATATCTATTTCTTAAGAATGTATGAAACTCATGATGCCCAAAATTTCCAAAATTCTAAAAAAAAATGTTACTTTAAACCTAATGTATTTTTTTTCAAAATTCAAGAAATACATTGAAATATTTTTTTTTTTTGGTCCTAAATTTTAAGAAATGTGATCAACCAGGTAAGCACTGATGTATTTGGTGAAATTTTGTTGAAATTTTGCTGAAAACCTCCATAGTTATACTCCAGTAATGGAAAATATTGATTTTTTTTATGCTGCTAACCAAATCAAGATGTCAACAAAAAAAAACTTGACATCATATAAAGCGTTCCACTTTTGGAGAAAAGCACATACGGGTAACAAAGTAAAATGTAGAAGCTTATCACATTACTTTGGAATTCATTTTCTTTTGAATTATGCTCCACTTCCTGTCAAACATGAGTTTCATACCTCCCCAGGTTCCCTCCCCTCTCCAATCTTAAACTTAGAAACATATTAAACATTACCCTGCCAAATACAGTAAAACTAATGCAGTACCCTCTTTTATTTTGGAACCTCATCTAAAGAATCTCTCTCGAAATGTTTCTTCTTTCATGTTTTTTTAATAAAACTGTATTTATATGTTTGAGAGACAATCCTTTTAAAAGAGCCGATGAAACAAGAACTTCAGTAGTATGTAACACTCTGCTGACAGACGAAAAGAACCAAAATGTTGAATGATTAAGTTACCAGCTGGTGACAGGCAACAACAGTCGCACTGAAATAACATACATTTTATTTATGGGTGCTTTTTGAAATATACAAAACATTTATCATTTGATAAGTAGACTGATACAGACTGCAAGACAAACAAACTCATTTCAAAGTATATTCTCGTCACCAGTCTATTGTATAGCTGGTTGTGAAAATGTTGAATCTGTATAAATGATTCTTCAAAATCAATGGACAAAATATTCAATATTGAAAAAGAAAAAACAGACTACCAAGTAATAATAATTCGTACACATTCATTAAAAATGTGTTCTTCCCTGATTAACAATCACCTAATAACTAATATAGTAGTTTTTTTCCAATCCAGATATCTTTTAACACATTTTCCTATCAAGATATTACCTTTTTTCCAATCAAGATATCTCTTTAACACATTTTTTCAATACAGATATCAGTAATATATTAATGAAAGTAAAGCTTTTTATCTTCTACTCCCACTTGTTTATTCATTTTTACACTTCCCAACAAACATGCTTAGATTAATACAAAATAGGCCAGGGGGAGTTTTGTTGGTGTTTATAGTCCAACTATTCTCAAATAAACTCGGCTAAGATCCAAATTATAAGAAATGAAAATTTGTTGAAGTTTCTCTGTATCACAAAGTTATGCAGTGAAGATATTTTCTAAGAGACATGAGGTCAGTTTTGCACGAAAGGTTCTCTACATATTAATATTACACAGGAGATATAGGCAAATGAAAACAAAAAGAAATATGCAAACTGACTAAGCTATATGCTTCATAGATATTATAAAATGATACTGAAAACATATTTATTTTTTGTTTTTTATTTAACCCAATATCAATTTTGTAAAAATCAATGCAATGATTAATTTAGGTGTTTGCAATAATTGCTATATTAACAACACGCAGAAACTGAAATTCATGGAATCATATTTGCAATATCCTTCATGTGAAAAACACTAAAACATGATCACACTACAATGTGTACGTTTAGAGTATGGTATGGAAGTCTACTGGAATAACTGGAAAGCATAAAGAAAATACAACTCTTAAAAAAAAGGAAAAAAAGATCAATTATCCTGTCTGTATAGTGTTCTCAGATCTTAGCAACCATTACCTAACAGAAATATCATATACACGGTCATGAAAGTATCCAGCTGAATCAAGAAATGTATCAGTCTTGTCTTCATTAATACATCCAAGGAGAATCAGTTCTCTCCGACAAAATGATCAATAACAAAGAATATCAACAATGCGTACGAACACCATTCATCACACCAATACCTATAGTTTGATTTGCAATCTTTTTTCATCAAGATAAATATGTTCTTGCCATTCAGAAAGACTGATCCATTTAAATTTAGAACACACTGTACATACCTTGCAACAGGCCCCACTTCTGACTCAAAGTTAAGGGATGGGGGTATTATGGAAAAATTAAATAGCATTGTTTCATATACCTGCTAAATGGGAAAATAAATGGGTGGACTAATATGACCAGCACAGGGTTATTTTCAACCACAACTTTCTCGTAATTTCTATTCAGATAAGTAGGACTTCTTAAAAAGGTAATTGCGAAATGCAAACACCATTGCAAGAATTGGTTGGTAACAAATATGCACACCAATTTTGAATACTTTAAAGTTCCAGAGAATTAAAGAGCATGTTGTATAGTTCCATGGATTTCCTTTTCCTTAGAAGTCAAAAACCGTTAAAAAAATCTCTTCATGATTCATTACTCAGAACATTCATTTATTGAGTTAAAAGCCATCTGAAGTTGTCCCAAAAGAATGTGTAGTTAGAGAATATCCTGCTGAAAGTTTTGAGAATGGACAGCAGCACAAAACCAGTGCCCTATTCTTGCAGGTAAGAAATGGATTACTTATGTGTGACACACCAGATCTAGAAAGGTGCTCAACACTCCACACAAGTGTAAAAAAAATATCTTTACAAAAATGATAACATAAGGCTTATAATATCAGCAAAAACATTCGACATCTTCATGAATAACACAAAAATTGTATGATAATGATATGTAACTAATTACCAAATGGCAGAATCACTTTCTGTGCACAGATATAAGGTACCACAATGTTCAAACACTTCAATGTCAGTAACTTTGGCAACCACCAGGCATGCTTAAAAAACATATCCAAATATTTCTGATTTTAAAACTTTAAACAAAATTTTGATTTTACATTAATACAAAAAGTTTTGTTTATAGACATAGGTTTAGAACAACCATGATGAGAAATTTCACCAGATCCAGCTTGTTAAACTGTCATAAGTCATAGAAACATGATCAGGGCTAGCGTGTTAAACTGTTACTGATCATAGAAACATGATCAGGGCTAGCTTGTTAAACTGTCACAAGTCATAGAAACATGATCAGGGCTAGCGTGTTAAACTGTTACAGATCACAGAAACATGATCAGGGCTAGCTTGTTAAACGTTACAGATCATAGAAACATCATCAGGGCTAGCGTGTTAAACTGTTACTGATCATAGAAACATGATCAGGGCTAGCGTGTTAAACTGTCACAAGTCATAGAAACATGATCAGGGCTAGCTTGTTAAACTGTCACACGTCATAGAAACATCATCAGGGCTAGCGTGTTAAACTGTCACAACTCAGAAACATCATCAGGGCTAGCTTGTTAAACTGTCACAGATAAATAACCTTGCCATAATCTTAGTTTCATTCTCAACCTCTATCCTATGTCAAGTGTAATGATAAACAAACTGCTAGAGTGAAATAAAGGGAAGTAATTCTTGGATATCAAAATGTTTCAATGTGGTAACTTTTACACTGCACTGTGAAATTAAATTTTGTCCTCTCATCTTATGTTATTTCTCTGTTTGATCATTATGTACGATAAATTTTAATGGGAAAACGAAGAAGCATGTATATTTATACAAGTGTTGGTTAGATATTTACAAAAAAGTAAATACATTGTAAATTAGGTTATCTGCTAATTTTTTAGCCTGGTCAGATATGATGACCAGTTGTAATAAAAGTGAACTACAACAAAGTGATGCTGTTCCACACAATATTCATTGACTATTGTTACACATCATAATTTCATTTACAAATTTACTTACATAATTATGCCTGCATTATACCTACCAACCAATTGTTCACCATTACCAACATAGAAATGGATACTTTTTTTCCGCATATCATTACTAATCACTTCCATGGTTAGTCATTGTCTAATTTGCATCCTGGCTCCTGTTGCACAATGGTTTTTTAGAATTAACCAGTAGTTAATGAACAATTTACATAGCTGCTCCTGAAAAAACCTGGAGTCTCAAAGAAAAATTTCAAAAAATATTAATTTGATCTGTCCGAATGGATCTACAACTATGAAATGATAAGAATTTTACCAATTCTGTCTCATTCATATTTGATTTTTTTCCAAGCTTCGAATAACTGGGGCCAAATATTTAGAAGACATGAAGTCATACCATAATTGCTATTTTGGTTTAACTCTAGCGACAAAGTCAATTTGGGACGTCTATAACAAACCTATTCATACTCATTATGAAGTACAATACAATATGATGAACATCTTTCATAGCAATAGGATGTAAATTAAAAAAAAACCTGAGCATTCAAACGGATGATTTTTATCAGAAAATCATTTCTGAGAACTGCTAAATCGATAAATGTTGAAAAAAAAATGTTATCATAGACAAAGTTTCAACTTACCTGACAATCTTAATTAGTAATCATTAGATCACACTGAACAAGAATCTTCCTGACTTAACTAGAAACAATCCAATAGATCTATGTCCTGTAATCATAGGCTGATTAAGTGATCTGTTTGACATTCATTCCAGGGCCTGTTATAAGAAATATAGACATGAAAGTTTCAGAATACGTACGAACAATGAAGTTCAACTTTCTCACAGGAGATTTACTAGTAATACAACAAGAAGCCTAGTGACTTTGATGATCACCTGAGATAAGCAATATTGAATATACAGGTTAAAGGGTAGTTATCAAGTGTCATGAAACAGAAATTGTGACATTGAATATAGTATGTCTGTGTCACTACATACATACTATCAAAACTGTCATCCTGTACCAATAATTATTACAAAGTTATTTCCAGTGGTAAATAGCCAACGGTATACTCAAAAATGCATTTTTTCTATGAAAATTACAGGTAAGTTTTCATTGAAATCGAATCAAAGAGTTTTTGAGAGGAGGAAGCTGAAAATATTCAATTGTTTATGAATGCACAACGCACAATGCTGGATGAAGGTGATCGCAATAGGTCACCATGAGACTTTGTCTCAGGTGACCTGAATGGTCTTGAATCTAGATAAAATCATGGATATGGTCTAAAATTTCCTGACAAGAGGATTAGCAAACATTTTCTCAGAAACTAGAAACAATGTCACTTACATCACAGGCATAGCAGATACAAAACAAAAACAGCTTAATAATAACAAATGATGATTACACTGTACATCACAATAAACAATGTATGAATTTCTAATCATACAGTGACAGTGTTAAGACATCAACATGTTTTCCAACAGCTCATCTGTTGTCAAATTCTATAAACATTGATGTCACATTAATTCTCTGTGTGGTCTATCTGATACAGAAAGTTTCAATTCATTTGTAAAAATCACAACCTGAGTTTACTGGTAATACCATTAATAACAAAAATCTCCACAACAAACATTTATCAATATTTTGCACGGATTATTTCCCTTTTAAGACTACTGTAATTTCTACTATCAATTGATACAAGAGACTTAAGTGAACACAGAAATGTTAAATTAATCCTTCATTTGACCAAATGCATGATAAAAGTGACATTCTCTCACAATGGGTGTTAGCATGTGTGTTGTAAATGGATAGTTCCTTTGATTAATAGTGTGTAGTGTTCATCTGTTTGCCTTAAACTTCATGATTTCAGGACTTTGATTGCTTTTTTTTCATTTAGTTTCCAATAGTCTAGGAAATTTGTGTTTTAATTTCTACAATTCATCTACAACAAGAATTTACTGGTCAGCACTTAGAAGAAATGTTTGTCTTTGCAAGACTTCCCAGAGGAATGACATCAAGTGTTACTGTAAAGAGCAAAAAGAACTCTTGGCTGATGTCAGAACAGGCTTTGCAGCTGCTTCGTTAGAATGTATTATCTCTGCCTTAATCACTCTCTGATGTGTTTCCACTTCTGGCTTTGTCAGCTTAATGCCTAGAATTTCAGCTGCCACTCGTTGAAAACAAAGAGACACCTGGAACAAATCATTTTCACCATGAAATTCATGCATCAGTAGTACACTGGATTATGGTATGTTGCATGTTTTCCTATCACAATCCAAGAAACTCATTTCCTATCTGCCAACATGTATGTTATTTTCCATTACCTTGGGTAGCTGTTTGCATATTTCTCCACATATCCTAGTCTCTATGACTACCTATGTGAGGGTATGACTGTTTGATGTCAGATGAACAATGCATTGACATGATGGTGTAACATTGCATATATAGTAGCAATATGGGTTTAATGTCCTTGCAATAGTAAGTAGATTTGGTAAGTTTGCTACATTTATCTCCCTATGAACAGCCAGGGTCATTTTGAGACAGGGAATCTGTGTAGTAGCTGGTGGCTTCCAGAGTGAACAGCATTTAGAAGACTCGTCGCATGCCATTCTGAGCAATTTGAGTAGAGTACCAAGGCCACAAACAATGTCATCACAGACCGATCCATTTCTCAGCTGAGAAACACACACCTATTGGAGTAGAGAGCATTAAACCACACACCTTGGATCTTCACCTTAGGTTACGTAGGACAAAACCGACTGAGCTATCTCTCACTTAACTAGAGAGAAAAATACCCGGAGTGACATGACATGAACAGCACTCCATTTCAATCTCTTTAATGTGCACTATGGATAAGACATGGGACACAGAAGACCTCTACCTTTGGTTTCACCTGATAATGTATTTTCCACCCTTCAACTTGAAATAACCTTGTCCTGTTTTGGCTACCTATATAAACATAACAAGTCACCTGCTTTGGCTACACATACTAACTTATTCAGTTATTTATTTTCCTAACCGTATAAACTTATCAAATTGCCTTATCAGTCTACTTATATAAACTTACTAAGCCATCTGGTTTTCCTACTCACAATAACTTTCTGTGTTGCCTAATTTTGTTATTCTTGTAAACTTATTGAGTCACCTATATTTGCTATCAATTTGAGCTTACAGAGTAACCTGTTTTGCAACCAATATAAACTTACCGAGTCACCTGTTTTGGCTGAAACAAAGTGGCTAGACATGCCCTTCTCTTGTGCAAATTTCTGGTGTTTATCCATTTTCACTGTGCGCATATGTTCAAGGTCAACTAGAGTAAAAAGAATTAAAGAATATTTAATTTTCAAAAAAAAAAAAAAAAAAGAAAAAAAAAAGAAAAAAAAATCATTTTTGTGTCAATTACCAGTGTAACAAGAAATAAAAAAACAAAAACATACATCAAGCACTCTCAATCGCGTACTAATTAGCTGTGTCCAGATCCACAAATTAACAAAAACCTATAATTAATAACATTTTTATCAGGCCATTCTGTACCTTAATTAGACAAACATGCATATTGTGTATTGCTATAGCAATACATGTTCCTTGTCAGCTCTACATACTATTACACTATTACACTCTAATGATTTATAAATGTTGTGCTGTTTGGTGTTAATTTGAAAAAAAAAAAAAAAAAAGGAACAGAAATACAATTAGTTTGTAACTGATATAAATGTAACAAAGGGCAGTAACTCTGTAATTGTGGAGGGATGGAGAGGAAAATTATAGTCCCCTTCTGGTTTTACTGATGCTTTATAAGTTTGTAAATTTAATGAAAATACATAAAGAAATGCAGCCACTAGAGTGCTGACACATAGTTTGGTGTTACTTACATGCATACACAAATGGAAGTGAAAGAGAAGAAAACTGTACAGTTCTCCCTGGTTTCATCAGTAGGGCACTAATAACTGCTACAAATCATTGGATTTTGTACCTTATATTTGTTCTTGTTCACTAACACAGATTAAAAACAGAATAAAATGGGCTTTATGTGAAAGATCTACTATTCTACATCCTGACCTAAGAAACTTGTCCAACTTTGTATTCTAGGATAGGTTTTCCTACCACTTATAGGGATTATTCTGTTGGCATATATCGTTTTAAAACAAACAAAAAATGTGCTATTTTCCCAAAACAAATAAAAAGTTATAAATACCTTCTCAATTTTGAGAAATTACATGACATATTTTCCAATTGTATGCAGGCACAAACTGCTTCATAGTGATTCACAACTTACCATACCTAGTTCTTTTTTTAAGGTAAATACATTCTTATGGATATTATCATTATCATGGCCTGAGTATCACTTGGTGATTTCTATGTTTAAAGCAGGGACTGTTCACTTGTTTCTCACAACAATTAAGAGCTAAAATTTGACAACCTCCATGAGATCAACTTTCAAAAAAATTGTAATCATAATTTTGTTTCTCATTAGCTACAAATGGGATTTACAATTGTATTCTTTCTTGACGTGTTAATAACAAATTAACCAGTCAAACGCAAACCATTCTTACCTTTATTTCCTACTAAAGCCATATGTGGTATTTTTGTGTCTCTTCCAAACACTTTTTTTACAGAACTGTACCAGTCTTCTACATTTTCAAAACTTGCATAGTTTGTTATATCATAGACCATGAGGATTCCCTGAAAAAAGAGATCAAAATCAATGTTCAGATATCATTATTCTGCCATTAAGAAAGACTCTTTGATCCCATTAAGCATTATATATAACCTGTAACTACAATAAGGGGAAAAATACAACAATAACAAAATACCAACATGTCAACCTTGTCATAATCCAAACTCAAATTCAATAAATCTAGGGCAAAATATGAACAAGAGAAAGATTTACAAAGAAACTCATGTATGTACAAGGAAAATAAGACCATGTGTTCCGCAAGAGTAAGCATCTTCTGCTTCATTGATGACATCCCCCAAGTAAACCTTGGTCAATTCAAGTAAGTATGTCACATTCTAAAATCAAAACAAACTAAACAACAAGGGAACCAACAGACAAACTAACAAGTGATAACTTATTGTGATAATGGGCACAGGCCCTTGAATAGCGAATCAACTGCAACATTTAAATAATAAAGGATGGGAATGCTAGTATGTTACTATCCAGAAATGGGAAATTTAAAATAAAGAAATGGCAGTCAACACATTATCATACAGCTTGGTGGAAAGCTGTCCATATTGGTTTTGTTGTAGGATAAGATCAAGATAAGCGACTGATGCAGAAGAGTCTGTCGTGTCCTTAATTTCCAATTCTGGTGGGTTTATACAACGGACGTAATCAAAACATTTCTTGTTATTTAAAGACAAAGTGCCATCAAGATATCTGAAAGTGAAATCAAACGACTAACCAAGGTCTTTGACATGTTTTGATAAGCTCTTCAATAAATTCAGCCTCACATGAAAGCAAAAAATAAGCCAGCCAACAGAGTAGCACAGTTAGTTCCCACAGATATGTCAAAAGTCTGTTGGAAGATGTTACCCCCAAATTTGATGACAATGCTGTCAACCAGAAACTTTTATGATTTCATCCTCAGTATATGTCTTCATTGATTATTTGATTGACGAAACACAACTTGTCAAGACACTCAGGTTTACCTTCAATTTTTAACAACTTTACAAATCAACATCAAATCATCACTTACCATTTGGGAATGTTTATCAAAATGTGTATACAATATAAGAGGAAACATCCCTTCACTATGTTTTGATAATGATACTTACATTGGAACCATATATATAGTTTTCTAACATCTTTCCTCCTAGAGTCTGTCCACCGATGTCCCAAACTTGCAGTGCTACATGGACATTTCCTTGAATAAAACCAAGCATATACTTTAAGTAAGATAGGACTTTTCAGACAGTGAAGAAAGAGTCAACATTTACTTTAGTATGTAGGTATTATATCAATAGATTTAGGTGTTGATATATTCTTTTGCCTTACTGTCAATCAATCAATTCAAGATATTTCAAATTAAAGGGATAGCATTTACCTGGTAATATTATTCTTTTCAGAAAGAAATCTAATCCAATGGTCTGTTTATATTGCCTTCCAAACTGCTCCTGTGAATATCTGGTAGCTATAGAGGTCTGAAATGACACAAAATTTACAAATATGACAAATATGCAACATACAATTATATTATAAACTTTATCTTAATCTAGAAACTTTTCATTAAGTTAAACTTACTCTCTGACTTAAACTCATTGAATAAATTCATGTCATGTTTTTTTATCCACCATATTCTGATTTCTGCCCACTAGAAGATTCCTTCTCTCTTCCACCTAGGCCAACAATGATTATATAAGCTTGTTTCACTTTGTTTTTAAATAGATTCGGTGGATGTTTTATATTCCAGATAAAAATCCACCAACATGCCAATAAGAAGGATTTTATCACTCTTGTCTAAAGAGCATTTAGAAACCAAGTCTGGTTGAGACGTCTATTGCAGAAACCTTTTTATTGAACTCAAGCCAGTTTTCATCTACTTTTGCTGCATTGTTTGCCTGTGTTGACTAAACACTGACCTTTGTAGGAAGTGAAATATAACAAAGGCCTTGTGAGACTCCATTAAACTTCAGAAAGGTATGAATGTCCTTCAAACAATTTTCATTAAATAGAGAAGATGAGCCTACATGTAAATGACAGATTTACTTCTATTTAATAAGAAAGATTAAAGAAAATTTATCCTGCACCCAATGGGCACAGTGGCTAACACATAGTCCTTGCAGATGGGGCTTGAATTAGCAACTACTAACGATTACAGTCACAGTGATCACTAAGGCAGACACCTACCTCTAGGCTAAGGATAATTCTTACTCTCTAGCCAAGACTCGTCAGGTTAACTCAAGTGGACTCTTTTCTTGAACACTTCTCCGACAATCTTCAGAAAGTCTGTCTCCCTATAGACAACTACAATCCACATTCTAATCACTCAGTCTACTATTGCTTGGAATGTTCCATGACCATCAAATGTACCATGAGTAGGGCTTCTCCATTGGGAACCAAACCTACTAATCCTAACCATGCAGTAGGAAACAGAGGAAAGGGGAAATTCTCACTAGGTCCATCCTAGACCAATAAGACAACATGAACTATATCCACAAATAAAAGAACATCGATACTAATTATTAACATGAGTCAAACTGCAATACTACTCTTCCTCATGGGACCCCCACAATGCAAATTAAATCACACAGATTGAGAAAGAAAAATGCAGAGCAGCAAGCAACAACAAATATCACAATATCATTTTGGTCACAAACATACTACACCAACTTCAATGGCTGACACTATAAACAGGCAGGCTGATTAGTTGATCCAAGGAATAGACATGTACACCCCATCACATAAGACAGTTATCTGATACAAAGGACAAATATAAGTAGTTTATCTTTCACATGCAATCACAAAATGAAACCTCCTTCCTGTAGCAGCAATACAATGCACTGCACTAGAGGGCCTCAAGTGTTCCAGGCACTTATCTATCCCCTGCTTATGCAGCCCTTGAAGCCCTCACACTCTAACACATCACATATGCTTTAATCTAGTTTTATTTTTACTTTTACAGATTACTAATAACAAATAAAAAAATAAATAACCCTTATTACCTTACGCACATCTGAGCAAAATCATCACTATGGATGGAGCTATGAAATCCCCGGGAAGAGAATCTACTCAACTGTATAAAACATGTAGATAATCTACAACTCTCATCGAAATAACATTTTTCACTAATCCATAGTTCGAAATAATAATAATCTTGGCTGGAAATTGGTTTTACGACGCGTACTTCAACAGAGACGTGAGGCATGTTACTTCCCTGGCTTTAGTTACGTGAGCGATATATGAATTAGCTTAATGAAGCCGACATCAACTGAATCAGTAAATATGGCAAGTGATCGTGTTGCCTGGAGATGCCTCATGACATTACCTTTCCAGAAGAACCATCACCCATAATGACGATCTTCAATTGTTTGTCAGGGGTTTCCTCCTCGGAGTCCGACATTATGAAAAACAATGTCTTTTGGTCACAAATGTTAAGGTGCTGTTCTGGATATTAAAATCGACATTTCGGTACCATCCTCTCGTTGCCAAATATTTACAAATGCTGTCACTGGGAAGTCGGTGTTACTTGCACGCTTAAAATGTTCGACCAATTCAAGCTTCTCAAAGATCAATCTGATTTGATGACGTCAAAGAAGGGCGCAAAATGTGTGCATTAATTGTACGTCTGTGCTGAACTTAAAATACCCTTTATCTAAATTTAGCAACAGATTAGTGTTGACGTGTATAGTGGGGAAACGTTTGTATAGTTATGAAATAAATTTTACTAAACGATGTGTCCAGTAAAGAGAAGGCTGAACCAGTCCAGGGGCGTAGCTAGCCCAGCAGAAATGTGTAAGTCCAGGCGAGCGGTCTGAATTTGATGATTTCAAAGATGTTTAGAATCGTTTTCTGAGACAGTTTTTTTTATTCATTTAACAACAAACTTCAACCTCTGATATTTATTTTCAACCTTAAATTTGTAATTTTGTCCGACATACTCTATGCACGGATTTTTTCATGTGTAAGCCGTCCAAAGCAAACGACAAAAACATTTCTGAATTCAACACTTATTTTCTTGATAAAGAAATAGTTAAATCAGTTAATGCTTTTGTTATCCTGCTCTTACATTATCTTATTTCTAATATTACGGGAAAGCTTGCTGTGTGAAAATATTTTATGTTTACAAGTATTTTTTACGTGTAGAGACTCGTGTTATGATCAGTCATGTTCGTGTCCAGAAATAACCCATTTGTTAAATAAGAACATGAACGTATAATATAATGTATTATACGTCGTTGATAAGAACAAAGCGTTTAATGTCTCTTTGTTTTTATTTTGTTTTTATTTTATTTTCACGAGAACGAAATATGACTGTTAATCACCTCAGCACCAACAACTTCAACTGCAGCAGCAGCGACTCGTGACACGATAATAAGGTGTTGTCTGAGGTTTGTGGATGGATTATAACCAATAATTTTGATATTTATGTTCCCTTTCTCAATATTGTTCGTGTTGGAAACCATAGCCTAAGCGATGTCGATATCAATCGTCTTTTTTGTACACAGTTTTATTACCAACTATCGTTTTAATGTACTATTATCAGTATTATTAGAGTTGCAATGTTATTCGAAATGCATGAGGTTGTTGTATAAATTTGTATATTCCAGTGCTTTCAATCGCCACGGTGTTAAATATAGTACGTTATCCTTTGATAATGGGTAATGATATTGTGAACTATATAATGTTAATTGGATTTTGTTATTCCAGAGTCTACGGCAGATTTTTAGTTAAAATATTTTTCCGATACGTTTTCTGAGCATAAATATCAAATTTTTTTCAGGTGTATACTACAGTTTGAGTAAACTTACTCTTAAATATATATACTCAATTGTAGTATCTATCAATGCATGTTTTCTCAATATTGAATTTCGTGTAGTACTCACTCTGCTATTATTTTCTCGCATGGATATTGACTCTAATCCTGGTCAAATTGAATTATCGCTATTTCATTTATATATAAGAAGTGTTGAAATAAAATATATGTTTGAAGTCATAGTAGAAACGTATGACATTATTTGCCGTACTGAAACCCCTTGAGACGAGCATGTTTCTCTTGAGAAGTTACATTTTGACGGCTTTCATATTTCGCTTCTTAAAGACACGGAACTTAGCTGCTGGTGGTATTCTTATATTTGTACATGAGCAACTAAAAACAACATGTTTCCGTGAGCTTGAAGTTTTTGGAGATGAAGTGATTTAAACTAAAATTGAATTTCAACATTCCGCTCTCCTGATATGTACAGTATACTAACCTAAAATTGATGTTAATCCTTTCTGGACAAATTTACTCTCTCCTAGAGAGATATCTCCTAATATAGTTATCAATGGTGTTTAAGTGCTGATATATTCACGTTTACATGCATTGGCTGATATAATTATGTATTTTGGTCTTAGTTCACTAAGAGCGAGCTTACTTGACTCGATGGTTTTGAAAATCTCGGTAAAATATATTGATTCTTCTGTTTTATCTATAAACAGATCAGTGAGTGACCATTATCGTAGCATTGGTTCTATCGACATCCCTTTTATCATACTCCTATTTATAACTGTAAAATTTTGATGTGTTAACATGCTGATTTAACCATTTAAATGAGCTGATTTCTACATACGATTGGGAAACGTTCATAGAGCGACGTGAGTCTCTAGATATTGCATGTCAACAATTTTGTGACATTTATTTCGATTTTGGCTATTTTTGTATTCCTACAAAAGAAGTAACTATCCGACTCAATGATAAACCTTGGATCACTTCTGAATTAAGACATGATATGAAACTTCGTGACAGATTGCACAGGTAAGCTAGACATTCGTCACTTCAACATGACCGTATAAATAAATTTTAAGTTCAACCTAACAAAGTGAATATTACGAGCAAACATATCCGTTATTTTCTTTTATGAAAATGAACATGGTCTAGTCGATAGGTTTTCCTGTTCTGATCCAAAGCAATACTGGAAATTTGTTAAATAAATTCCTACTCTTATTGATCCAGTTTTAGGTAACATAGTTACAAGCCTGAAGATGGCGACAAGACCAACACCTTGAATACTTATTTTTGTTCTATATCAGAAGCAACACTGATATTACAGACAAAACTTATCAACTCTTTAAGGGTAACATCATCTGTAATTGAAGATATACTTTAAATTTGAAGATTAGGTAAGGCGTCTGGTCATAACGGAATTAGCCACCGTATGCTTAGATACACAACACACTTAGTTTCAAAACCTCTTTTTAAAATTTTTCACTTACTTCTTAAATCTTTCTGACACGTGGAAAATTGCTAAAGCGATACCATTAAAAACAGGAAATAGGCATTCTCCAACAAACTATAGGCCCGTACCATTACTATCTAAATTAGGCAAAGTATTCTTGAGAGTAATATTTAAGTATATTCACAACTATAGAAAATTCTCTTTTTAACAAATATCGGCCAGAATTTATGCCAGGTCACTCTGCTGTTTATCAACTTGTTGAAATTTATAATAATATTTGTTTAGCTCTTGAAAAAAAACCATGCGTTTCGTGTTCTGTGATACATATAAAGCTTGTGATCGTGTTTGGCATAAGTGGTTGTTAATTAAGTGAATATCTTAACGTATAACAGGAGACTTGTTGGCTTGGTGAGAAAACTATCTTTCAAATAGAAGACAAAAAGCATTTATTTCAAATTTATTTTCTGACAATGGTTTTATCACAACTGGAGTTCCACTGGGTTCTATCCTGGGTCCCCTATTATTCCTGATTTATATTTACATGTGGCTTCCCATCTTTTCGCAGGTGATACGTCTTTAATGGGCACATCTTCTTTTGATGATTTACAAACCACGCTGAATCAGGGATTATAATCTTTAAATAATTGAAGTAGTTTATCGATTTAAACCCAAGCAAAACAGAAGCTATTTTTTAAAACAAATTCAGTCAACTTGAATGGTGATCTGGAAGTAAAATTTGATTGTGTATTTTCAAATTTCAGTGATTGTCATAGGCACTTGGGTGTCATATTCGTTGCTAAAGGCAAATTTACTTTTCATTTATGAAAAAGATCAATAAAATAATTTGAAATAAATCTTCATGACGCAGTGTAGATGACTTTAAATTTGTTGGGAAACGCCCAGCGTTAGTCTGCGCGTATCATTACAGGTTTACCAACTTATGCTAGTCAACAGATCTTCAAGCACTTTCAGTTTGAAGGGGAAGAAAGAAATGACAATTATTGTGTAAGATAAAAGGTAGTGTAGCTCCTGCCTTCTTGAATTCTTCGTTACCTCCAACAGTTGGTCAAACTATTCCCTATCCGGTAAGAAACAGACAGGATTTTAAAATTCGAATTACAGACTATCTCAAACTCATTCTTCCCTTCTTCCTTGCACCTAATAATACATCTAGATCTTCACCATCTTTGCAAACTTAAAAATCTTCTATAACTCCAGACCAACCAAAACCTCCCGGTTACCGTGGATTTGCTGACTTATTTCTGTAGAATATATTTGAAGTGCTACTTACATAAAGAAATTACTTTATACACGATATCAATTATGATTATTTTTCCTGTTGAGTAGACAAAGGATGTACTGTATGCGGATGTCTCAACACACATGCGGAAGCTATATAGATTAATCTGTGTTTACATAAATCGTGAATCTAGTGACTGTAAACTTTACACCTTTTTATCATACAGTTGATCTCTAGAAATTATCATCGGACGACAACTGATTAAAAATTCAGTCAAATTAACGAAAGCGCACCCACCTCCCCTTTCTTTACAAATATAGATACACTACTGGAACTAATATACCAGACCCGACTTGTATAAAACATCTCAACTTGAGATTTCCTCAAGTCGAGATTTTCCTCTGCTGATATCTCCTTGAAAATATCTTGTATGAAAATTCCTCAAGGAATTTCAGGACATCCTAGCCGATGCCTTCCTCCTGTTCCTTGAGAAAATTTTATACAAGCCGTTTTTGAGGAGATATCAGCTGAGGAAAATCTCGACTTGAGGAAATCTCAAGTTGAGATGTTTTATACAAGTGGGGCCAGTACAAAAAGGTATACTTATAATGAGCAGCAACGTGTATCTTAATCACCAGTTATACATGTCGGAAACAATGTGAATAAATATGTAGTATTTGTGACAGAAAAGTATTAATTAGAGGTATGGGGAGGAGACCACTTTGGTTTTTTTACTCATTCCAGCGATTTCAGGAAGTTAATACGTATAGATATACTAACCAAATTAAGGAATTTTGCAGAGGGAGATCTGTCCGTTCAGGTCTCACAAACATAAGTTATGCTTCAATGAATCATCTGATAAGGCATGTGCATTTTTTTCATCGATATTTTTCATCAATTTGGTCCTTACACATTTGTTGGTTATCATGACTGAGGACAGGGTTGTAAAATGGAAACTCGAACGAAGAATAAACTACACCAATCCAATGACTTCCCTCTGATCTCGTAGCTTCACATAGGTATAAACGTGCTTCTTACCATTATAGCACGTGACACAGGTGTGTTAAGTGTTAATTACCTGTACGGATGTTTCACGTTCAATTTGTATACAATGTTGTTCTGAAATATCGTCTTATCTTAGAAACTTTGATTCAAATATGTTCAGACGTATGATATCTCAACGATAGCAGAGTTATATCTGACGACAGTAATCATTTCCATATATAAATGTATATAACCAGAGACACATATGTGATATATACGTCTCTGATATAACTGGTGTCTTATCTCTTGTTCTAAGGATGGCAATAAATATCTTTGAATTGATCACTTTTGGCAAATTTCATATGTCTGTTTACCGTGTACATAATATTATCGTCAGGATTATCTAATTCTCAAAACTATTAAACATTCATTTGATTTCGCCTATTCCTTCCATGGCGGCTGATACCAGTCGTTGAACTTGTGACGTCACAGTCGATATGGTCCCATTCAGCGCGAGTCTCCCTTCGGCTGATCGTACACTTTACACGTATCTCGGTATCTCGATTGCTGTTTTAAACATTTTTGATTTCGGATCATAAGAAGCAATTTTCATTCAGGGTACACTTTACATAAAATCACACGAAGTTATATCGTCGATGTAGTCTTTTTAAATAAGATTTATTTCTGACCAGAGACGTATATATCATATGTGATATATACGTCTCTGATCTGACTGATGGCGCCGAATGCTTTCCCTTAATTTTGAGAATGTAGAGTTTTTAGTTTAGACTTGCGTCTTTCTGCCTGTAGACAATAATGTAATGGTATTTAGATATGTGCACAATTTCATTAAATTAAGCAATAATTTTAAATTAAAATAAGTCTAATCTGTTTTCTTAGTTCGGGGATCAATGTATCTTTCCTGTACATATGCAATAAGAAGCTCAGATTCATAACCTCTTTGTTTTCAAATGTAATTTGTTTTGGGAGATGGTATATGTAATATTGTAATAACATGTGTCCAACCCTGTTGCTGATGATTATGGGAATAAGGTATTTTTGAATCAAGGATGAACATATTCAGGTTTCCGAGGAAAAAAAGACTTTCTCTCCGAGTTGAGAAAAAAAAAAAAAAAAAACCTTGTCAAAGAATTCTCATTTATTGCTTTTGTAAGTAATCAGATTTGTGAATACCAGAGGAATAATATGTTTTGCATTAAAAAGGAAAATAATCTATATCTAATATCACAGGTACCGGTAACAATTTATTTTCCTACAGGCCACAATATGTGTGCAGTGTATTTCTAAAGTAATACCTGTAACTGTCAACCAATCAAAACCAAATTGTGTCCGGTATACGTGGAAAAGACAGAGTGTATCCTCTAGCGACTGAAGATCGTACATCACTGCTTTGTACAATCTGCAATATATATAATTTCTGGAAATATTTCCAAACCCCTGTGTCGCCCGTTAGTTTGGTAAGCAGTGACAGGGTAACGGTACCCTTATAACGGTTTCTCTGATGTTGAGTAGCGGACCGTGACCAACCATTGATCTTTATCAGCCGATCATGCACATCAAACGAAGGACACGCTTTGACGATGACAGCACGTGTATTCTTCTGACTTGACCGGCAGGAACACAAGATTGGGAAGTCCCATTGAAGGAGGGATGGGATTGGATTAAGTAATTATCTATCATTCGTTCATATTTTCTTATGTTTATTCAACAAGATACCACGGCATAACACTATGTCACAAGAAACAAATGGAACGAGTGTATGAAAACTTTTAACATATTTGATATGGCGGATATCGTACAAGTTACCTTATCTCCCCTATGGGTGAATGGGATGTGACCCTGTATATTACGGTATGCTACCCTACTAACCGTTATTATAACGGCCCTAATAACACTCGTCATCACTGACCTGAAAGCATCTCTACACAGAAATGGATAGCTACAGTCCATTCGAAGATTATTTGGGTTTGAGCAAGCTTTTACAGAATCAGAATGGGGGTTTGGACGAGCCAATGGAGACACCTAGAAGCGACAGCGACAGTTCCACAGCGACACCGCGATTTTCGGCACCGGACAGCTGGAGTAGAATCCAATGTCAGATGGTCAACGGCTTAAATGCTTTCTCTGGTGGCCTTCATAGTAACTTGGCGGATGATTTCATGTCTATGGAGTGTAGTCGTACGGGAGACGATTGTTTCCGCAGTGACTACAACGTTCACATTGAGGATGAAAACCGTCGGTCCCAGTCTGACGTCACGAAAGATCACGGATCCGGAGAAGAGGACATTTTCCAAAGGAACAATTCTAGGTCTTCGTCTATGTCCGAGTTTTCGTGGGACAATCATAGTCAGGTTTCGTCGTCAATGATACAGAGGAGAGATGACGGGGACTCCTCACCAAGTGTTTCTCCGGTGAACCCGAGCAGCGTCGACAGACTGGCAAAATTAATGCGTGAAATGAACCAGCAGGTTTCGGACATCGCTGATGACGAAGCAGCTCTACCTGGGTGTTTCCTGGAGTTCAGACCGATGGGTATGACGCGATTGGTAAAACGGGACATGTTTTGTGTGTTATGTAAACGTAACGGGGAGACGCGCGAGTTCTACACAACCCATGTGCTCAAGGACACGCACGGCAAAGTCATCTGTCCAATTTTGAGGAAGTATGAGTGTCCACGATGTCTGGCGACGGGGGACAACGCCCATACTCTCCGACACTGCCCGTTCGCTGACCAGGGGTTAGGGTCAATGTCGCGGACATTTCTCACCAGACGCAGCAGCTGTGGTGTGCGGCGAAAGGACAATGTCGGTGTATAGATATGATACTTTGTGACATTTTAAAGCGACACAAATCTCGAAACTATTCCTGAATAATTCTGAAAGTTGCGAACATTATTGTTTTGAAGAGAAACGAGGAACATTGCTTTACTGACATTAAACCTGCAGTTTTAGAGACTTGAAATATTTGTGTAATAAGTTGACTTTTTTCTTGCCAGACTTTCAGAATTCAGCTAGTAATGATAAATGTTTGTTTTTACATGCAAGTATATATTATTTATCGTTTTGTTTCAACAATATATTTTTTTTACAAAGGTGAAAACAATGCTTTATATAAGGAAAGAACAACTATTTAAGTTTACAACCGTTACACTGTACAACATTTTACCTAATGTTTGTTTTATGAATTTTTAATATATTTTGAGAGTCCATTATGAAACTTTATGCTTGATGGTTTTTTTTTATATATGTTTTGAAGAAGTCGTCCAGATTACTACTGTTGCAACTTTTTTTTTTGTTTTTTTTTTTACATTCTTGTTAATTAATGCTGAATCTGGTTGTAGAGTATCAATCCAGTTTTTTTATCATTTCATTTTTTTGCAAGAAGTCCAACTTTCACCATTTTCTCAGTTTTATTTTTTTTGGTCCATGATGAATGGATAAACATGTCAACTTTATAAATTTATAAATGTCCCATTCAAATTCTGGTCTTTATATATCAAAACATTAAATAAACTTTGGCTTGTATCAGAGATGCTTTAATTACACAGGTATAAAATACTTCGTAATTGATATATCAAAACGGTGAATTAATTTGCAATTATTTTGCATTCAAATATCTCGGTTTTTAATGGTATTGACTAGACAATTCCCAGTACCAAAATACTGGGTCACTGTCTCCTGTATGTGGCAGAAATGGACCAGAATATTGATACTGGTATCATAATAAACAGCATAAATTTTCTTTGTTAAATTATTTTAAATTAAATGCAAAACCGCTTTGAAGATAAGCATAAAAATTGAAAATATTTTGATGTTTTGGAAAACATTTTATGTATATATATATATAAACTACAATATCATGAAAATGCCCAGATGAATTTTAAATGATGTACAATGTTAAAAAATGGACGGATGTCGATGGGAAGAATGGATTAAAATCACAAGCAAACTTCATTAGCTGGTTAAAAAACTAGCAAATAGACCTATGATAGACTGAGGAAATTGAAATTGCCAGATTTTATTGGTTGTTGTCTCCCTATCTAAATGCATGAATACAATGTCAAATGATTAGTTGGTGGTCTACCAGTGTTAATGGAGGACTAGAATATCAAATGATGGTTTGTCCTGCATTCTTAATACCAGACAATACCATAGAGGGGCACAACATATGCAAGTATTGATTTCAACATAATGCTATTTCAATTTCTTCCTGTTAATTGCTTTCAATGTGAAAATATAGCAAATTTTAATGCATTAATATATTTGGTATTATTGAACAGTCTCTGAATGGAACCTTTTAAATGAATGTATGTATCTCTGAGCAGTGGAGTGATGATGTATAAAGCAGTATATACAATTATAACTATATGATGTAAATTATTGTAGTGAAATGTTCATGTTTTAATTGATGTAACTTATGTTGTGTAGTGAACTTAACTCTACCTGTTTAACTAAATGCATGTACCTTTATGAAGTAGAACCTGTTTTAACTAGAGATAATGTACTGCTGTCTAGTAGGACCGATTTCAGCTGTTAAATCTATATATAGATGTAGGTGTGTGCATTAGAACTTGTTTCAAGTGTGTACACCCCATTGTAGTAGATCCTGTTTTACCAGAATATAGATACCTCTGTGTAGTAGATCCTGTTTTACCAGAATATAGGTACTTCTGTATAGTAGAACCTGTTTTACCAGAATACAGATTCCTCTGTGTAGTAGAACCTGTTTTACCAGAATATAGGTACCTCTGTGTAGTAGATCCTGTTTTACCAGAATATAGATACCTCCATGTAGTAGAGCCTGCTTTACAAGAATATAGGTACCTCTGTGTAGTAGATCCTGTTTCACAAGAATATAGGTGCCTCTGTGTAGTAGAACCTGTTATACCAGAATATAGATGCCTCCGTGTAGTAGAACCTGTTTTACCTGAATATAGGTACCCCTGTGTAGTAGAACCTGTTTTACCTGAATATAGGTACCTCTGTGTAGTAGAACCTGTTTTACCTGAATATAGGTACTTCTGTGTAGTAGGTCCCATTTTACTAGAATATAGATACCTCCGTGCAGTATATTCTGCTCTTCCATAATATGTGTATCTCCAGAATGAAGAACCTGTTTTATATGTAGATGTGTAATTGCACTATCGAGTACCTGTTTTTACAGAATAAATGTACGTCTGTGTTCTAGAATCTAAAAAGTGAAATATTAAATATGCAAACCTTTTATTGCTAGAATAGTATAAAGTGTTGCCAAGGTGCTCTTTATACTGGCGTCTGGTGCATATATATTTAACATTGTAGAGAGTATTTCTAAAGAATTGGCTTGTTTTTTATGGTAATGCAGGTTTGCGATACCTTACAAGTATATATTGTCCGTCTCCATATTTTGCATGTGCCAGGGTTATTAGCACTTCAAGGGTAACAACTCCAGACGTTGTTTACAGTTTCATTCATTACACAGATATATACAATATTTATTGATATGTTCTTGTGTTGTTAATTTGAGGAGCATGAAGCTTTTTACCTTTATATGGTAAATTTTTGACGACAGTAAGTATTGGGTCCTCTAATATTTTGGGACTATAATTAAGTTTTTTCAAGAAAAAAAAATTTAAGTTACCAGCATTTATTTGTGAAAATGTAAAAAGTTTAATTCTTCAGATGGGAAAGTGAGGTGAGAACAGTATGACTGATATATTCTAACATATCCAGAGATGTTTATGAAAAACAATAAAAGCCTGTTTAATCTCTTTTTGTTGTAGTTGATTTTTTATCTGAAATTTGCTTTTCTGGTTTAATACAGTGGTACATCATTGAGGTTGCCAAGTTGCAGTCCATGAAAGTGGAATTTTACCAAAAGTTTTGAGTAAAACCAGAATCCATAAAACCATCTATGGTTTGTTCATTTTCAAGATATATACTTCAATCTATCATTATTTAATGCCATTCTTTGACACCAAACAAAATACAACTCTCATAACTTTACAATATTCCTTATCCTTTGGCGATTCATGTTGCTGCAAGTGGGAAAATTTGTGGTAGAAAATTGACGGGCAATAACTCTTCAAAACCATATCCGGTCAAAATCTGCTTTGTTATTTATGACTATTAGTGTTGTAAAACGAGATCACAGAAGGATATTGGCGCCAACCATTGGTTGATGCTTGTTTCTGAAAGTTGGATCTTTTCTCTTCTATTCTGCTTTTGCTCTAAATGGTAAGAAAAACATTCTTTTACAGATATAGCTGATAATAATCTTTTAACAGCAAAATCCAAGATGATCGCTTGGAAGCCATTTTTGTTTTTCTGATTAGTCCCAATATTAAATGGGTACAATTGGGGAACACGGGGAACCTATATATTAAATATAGAAAGATCCATTCAGTACTTCTCAAGAAATAGTTGTAACAATTTTTCCTCTGTGAAATCCATGATGGCCAACAGTCGGCCATTTCACTTTTCTGATCAGTCACAAAATCAAACGACCACAACTAAAGACCAAGGGGACCCTGCACATGAAATTTGAGAAAGATCTATGCTGTGGTTCTCGAGAAAAAGCGATAACAATCTTTCAAAGTGAAAATACAAGATGGCCTCCTGTCAGCCATTTTATTTTCCTGATCAGCCCCAAAATCAAATAAACACATCTAAGGACCAAGGGGAACATACATATGAAATTTAAGAGAGCTCCATCCAGTTTTTTCTAAATAAATAGCGATAACAAAAAGTTGTTTACAGATGGAACAGACATAGGGTGATTTGAATAGCCCACCATCATCAGATTGTGGGCTAAAAATTGTTGACAGATTGCGGACAATGGATGGATGTCAGACAATACCGACCAGGTGAGCTTAAAATAAATAACAAATCATGATGGTTAAAAACATAGATGACCATCTGTCAACTTTTTTTTCAGATCAGTCCCAAAATCTGACAATGAAAAACTAAAATTTGAAAATGATCCATCCAGTTCTTCTCAAGAAAGAATGATAACAAAAAATGGTTAAAGAGCAGCGGAGGGGCAACAGACCACAGAAAGGGTAATTTAAACATCCCATCATCTGAAGATTTTAGGCTGAAAAAAAAGACAAAAAACTATTTTTGATCATTTTTATTTCTCTCTATTTACATCAGATATAATATTATGGTTTACAAATAAGGTGCATCATCATACAACATTTATAACCATATAGGTACATTTTGTATTGGTTTTAATATTCCTGTAAATGTATATGCATGCATTATGAACAATCAATATTTCTGTACATGTATTACTACATACATGTATCTGTATTTGGCCTCTTAAATTGATTTTGTTACCTGTATTTTCATTATTGTTCAGTTTCTGAATTATCCCGTTGTTACCTCATGTGTTATCCAATGGTCAGGGTTTTCTCTTTTGTCATTGTACCATTGGCCATTTTGGTGGAACATTTGTTACTCCCTTTAAGACTTTCTAATGATGGCAGGTAAGAAATCTATCTTTCACATAATTAATAGTCTAAACATCTACATTATCTATTTCGTCCGATATTTTCACATTCATACATTTGATAAGATCCTATTACCTGGTAGCAAATTTCTATTTACTGCATGTACCAGATATTGAATTGTATTCGTTTGTCAGCTCTGTATCAATACATACTGAGAAGATATGAAGATTTATATGTGTATGTTTAATATAACCTATATCTATTTATTATTTCAATACTATAACAAATCCTAATCTGTATTAGTATTGATATTGTGCTCTATGTGTGTGTTAGAGCATAATGTACTTTAATTGGAATTGTTATATAATGACAGGGTAATCCACTGTACTAAGTACTAAGTTTGTTGGCGTGATAAATCTGTAACAAGAAGCCCAGGGGTCTAAACAGTCACATGTCATGAACTCACAAACAATTGGAATGAATGTGTAGTATAGAGAAGCATAAATGTGAAGTGCTATTTTTACAGGGAAAGGAGAATTTTACTGGGTTTTGACTTGTTATTGCACAACTTCCATAGGATCATGAAATTTACAATTTTGGTAAAGCCCCTCTAGACCCTTCCATCCATGAAGAGTATTCTATTCTAGCATTTTAAGTTATTGAGAAGAAGTTTTTCACATTTTCAGCCAATTTGATCCTTTTTCACCTTACCAAGAAGCCCCTGGGGGTCAACAAGGGTAATATTTGCATATCATCACACTGTCACACTATACTAACAAATCTATCATAGTTTTGTTTATTTCAAAAGAAAATAAACTAATGCTCAAAAATGTAATTTTCCTATATAAAATATAGTAAATTTTACCCCCACCCCAAGGGGAAATTTGAGAGCCTGGTATCATGAAATTCAGAATTTTTTTAAAGCAGTTTATAATACCCCTTCCATCCATGAAGATTATTTGATTCCACAGTATTTGGTATTGAGAAAAGGTTTTTTATATTTCAACAATTTGACCCCTTTTTGGCCCAGTCACTCAGGCCCCTGAGGAGTGGGGACCATATAATTTAAAATTTTAGTTCAGCTTTGGCCATGAAAGGTTTCTGCAAAATTTCTTTGAAAATTGGTTCAAGGACTTTCCAAAAGATGTCAAAAATGTAAAAATACTACAGACAGAAGAAGGACAATAGGGGATCTCAACAGGTCAGGTGACCTAAAAATTCTACCACTCCTACACCTGCATAGAAAGCTATTTCAGTATTGTTTCATTGAAATAGAATTTCCCAAAGCATCACATTAATGAAAAGTTTGATTAATTTCAGTGCTTTTTCTTTGCCAGTTATATCGCCCAGTCCACAGTCATGGCCATTTTGAGGTGGGAGTCTTCTTGTAGTAGCTTAGCTGGGGGTTACCATAGCGAATAACATATGGGAGGTCTGTCACATGATAACCAAAGCAACTGGAGTAAAGTGTTTTGCCTTAAAACATAACCACTGCAGAACAGGAAAGTAAGTGATCTCAAGTTTCGAAAACTCAGAAACCAACTTCTTCAGGTATGAATCGAAACCATGCACCTCATACCTTAACCCCAACACAATGCTACCACTCCTAGGCCTGAATTGTTTCATTGTTTATTAAATTACTTTAAACTATAGTTAAGAAAAGATCTATATACCTGTGTTCATCATTTATTAAATTACTGTAAACTACAGTTAAGAAAAGATTTAAAAACTTCTATTTCACCATTCATCAAATTGTCTTATACAACAGTTTAGCATTTCATTATTCATTCAATTACCATACACTACAGTTCAGAAAAGACATAAAAAACTTGTATTTCATCATTAATTAAATTACCTTATACTTGTACTACAGTTCAGAAAAGATCTAAAATCATGTATTTCACCATCCATCACATTGTCTTATATTATATACAGTTTGGAAAAGATATGAAAACTTGTATTTTGTCATTCATTAAATAATCTTATACAATCTCTCAACTTTAAAGAGATGTATCTCTTCTGTTAAATTTATGTTATACATCAACAGTTAATTCAAGTTTCTGTTTGAAACATCTTTCCTGAGAACTGCGATATTTCTATGTAGTACATACAGTGAGTATGGCATTATTGTTTTGTGATGTACGTACAATTGCTTTTGTTCATTTTGTGAATTTAGCCAGTCAAATAACCTATCAACATGACATTCTAATTTAAGTGTCTCAATTTTTTAGAAGGGGCATTAAAAATCACTAATACATGTATATGTTTTATCATCATTAGATAATATCCCAATTATTGAATCACTCTGGCACACATGAGAATATATTTCATGCAACTCTCTTCCATACTGATCAACTGGATTCTTTCCTCCTGTTTCATCAACGCGACCATGTAAATCTGTACAATCATTATACATATTCACCACACATAGGTTACTTCATTAACTACAGAATTAAGAGTACTTGTTGCTAGCTATAGACGTTGCCATGCGTTTAAACATTGGTCCAACTAAATCCACATGTGAATCTGCACACTTAATCATGCATTTCTCCATCTCTCCTCGAATCTTATCAAACTCCGATTCTTTTGGTGAGCCTGACAATTTGTCGCGAGCTTTGTCCTGACAGTCCATAGCACAGCGCTGTAGTCGGTTCTAGAAATAAAAAGTCATTGTTAGAGACAGAAAAAATGTTTCCCCAAGTTCTGATTTTCAACTAAAATGTAACATATATAATACATAAATATAGAAAGTCTAATAATCAAATTGGACATTTTTGTGGGACTTATTTTTCATGGTCTATCAAAAAATCACTATTTCTTGGACATGTGATCTCATGGATGATAGTCCAATTATCTGTGAATGTTATTTAACAGTTCATAGACATATGAATTCAATCTGAGACTTACTGTACATTTGCATATTTAGCTATTATCTGCATTTATACAACTTGATTAAATTGTATTCAGTTTTGATTACCTCCCTTTAGAATACATGTTCACAAAAATGCATGGTGCTTGTTTCCTTTTCTGTATAAAAAGATGGCCTACAACATGTTTCCTTAAAAATTATATGAAATGAGAACTTCAGGGACCTTTTTTCAAGAAAAGACAGCAACTTTTGTCGCTGTTTATAAATCAGTGTATGTTTTAGGTATTTTATAGCTTGATATATATACAATGTAATTTTATTCTGTGTGAAAACGGTCATGTGTAATGTATATTGCCAAATGTATAGATTTTGCCATTTTGGCATAGTTACTGAGGTTCCTTTCAGAGACAAGAAGATTTTTCAACCCGGACAGGGAAATGTCTACCTAGCCATTTCTTTGGCCCTTTGAATATCAAAAAACAAACTTACAAGATATGTTCAGTTGTCCCTTCCTTTGAGTTATTACCCTGGTTACTATAATACATATATGGACCATGGGTTGGGACAATCCTTTTTAGTATCTTGTGGGCCTCCAATTCTGAATGTAGATATTTCTGAAGAAATGGCACATCAGGAGTATTTAGGTTTATGGGTTGTTTCTATATTTTACAACTGACTATTTAGTACCTGATAGGCCTCCATTTCTGACTGTACATATTTCTGTATCTGCATCATTCTTGATGAACAGCGTTCCAGACAGCGGTCCTTGTCCTCTACTGTGTACGACTGATTCTCTACACACTTTAGGTTACATCTATACATTTCAGCCTGAAATACAAGTACAGAATCTTAACAGAATGACTATTTGGTTTAGTTTGTTAAAGCTTTATGTCCTATTAACACCCAGGATAATTTAAGGACAGGCCAGGTTCGGGTGGTGGAGGAAAGCTGGAGTTCACAGAGAAAATCGACAGACCTGCGGCCAGTACCTGGCAACTGCTCCAAGTAGGTCTCAAGCCTGCAACCCAGAGGTGGAGGGCTTTTGATAAAGATGGTCAGACTCCTTGACCACTTGACCACTGAGGCCCTAACAGAGTGACCAAGTAAAAACAAGTGATAAAAAAGAACATGTAAACACACAAACTTTAATGGTGTATTCTTATAAAACATAGATACATGTTAACAGATCTGTAACAATCTGTTTCACTAGGTGACAGTCATCGCTGAATGTAGGTAAACAACATCTATTAATTCATTTACATTTGCAGTAGAGCATAGCATTGTGTCCCACACCATTTTCTTGGTTTAATTGTCAAGATCATATAGCACTTAACACTAACAGCCAATCTGTTGTCCATTCCATCATTTACTTAATGTAGATAGGTTAATGAAGCTTACAAGTTAGTATATGGCAAGGTAATTACGTAGAAGAGAGTACACACTACAATATATGCGATGTACCAGATAGGATTCTTAAACTCAAGACTGACATTGTGGTTATAGGTCAAAGTTGTTGCTAAATGTACCTTAATTTCTTACTCAATATAGAAAAGTGATATGGCAAGGCAGTGTGTCAAATAGAAGTACCTCTTTACGGTCTGTATGTCCATGCATGGTCAAAGTCACGCACTTTAATAGTGATAAACAAGAAAGTTAGAGATTTAATTAAAGCGTCAGAATATTTTCCTTCTGAGTCACTTAAGGTTGATCATATCATCTCCTGGATGTATGGCGACTTTTCTGTGCCGGTTTCTACAAGGTCAGTGTCATTAAAAGTTCAAATATTGGAAGTTTTTATCAAGGGGCATGTTTTGTGTATTGTTGGTGGTATACGCAACCATCTGTGCAGATCAGTGTATATTGTTTTAATTTCTACTATCTTAGCCCGCTGGTAGTGACCTATCATTAAAATTGCAAGTTCTAAAAACGAACGATCACTGCCAACAGCAGTAGCCATTCGCCGGTCCGGGTCTGCAGAGCTTAGAGGTCACATGTTATCGTCATATTCTCTTCACGTTCAAACCATACCAAGCTTCATTGAAAATGAGCGAGTGATGAAATATCACAAACCTCAATACCCCTGATTTGCCCTTTCTCCAGCTCTTCGCTTCTGGCAGTGACAGCATTCTGCACACGTGCTTGCGCGGCTTCCATGTTTTCGAGTAGTCGCCTACAGTTATATGAATCTCATACGTCTAATGGACCAGAATGTTACCAACTCAAATCCAACATTTATCGACTACTTTATCCTGTTTGTCGTGTTATATTAAATGGCTTATAAACATGCAAGAGTATATTTTCCACCGTGCATGTATATAAGAAGTTCAGACATGAATACCACTCAGAATAGATTTAAAGAGAAAGCCTATTACAAATGAAAATACAGATATATATGATATGCGCTGTTCAGTCGCACGGTCGTTTGCTGTTAAATTATCAGACAGGGCATTATGGTAGGGTAGTATTGTGAGGCTAGAATTTACAGCATGGCGACAAAACACATAGAGAACGAGATGCATATTATATCATACAATTGGTTAATCATTTCATAATTGATTACCTTCAGGTATATACTTCCTCAGAGCCTGACACAGTGTTCATCATTTTCATACAGATGAACTTGTCAAAACAGTAATTTTGATGTACTTTTTTTCGTTGATTTTTATACGCATTACATTCAAGTATTAAATGGTATTCATCTTCGATGAATTATCTCGTGGTTCACATGTTACAGAATCATCTAGACCCTGTAGTACTATCGTAACGACCAACTTCAACTGAAAAACGATCACGGCGCAGATTCACATAATTTAGTTATAAAAACTCTACAATTTTAAGGACTAAATATTTAGTTAAATAAAATGGTAATGTGACATTGTCAAAAGGGGGTTGATAAATATGTAGATGTGTAGATGTTGTCAGTCTCAATAAAAATGTTGACTGATCAGTAGTGATATATTGGTAGAATAATTTGTATACATTAGCTCGTTTTCCCATGAGTATCCGAAACCAATCATAATTATCTTTTTTTTTTTTACAAAATTAATACATCTGAAACAGTTCTTGCATTTATATGTAGACATATGTACGATTCAAAATACAATTTCCTGAAGTATTCCAAGTTTCCTGTAATATTCAAGCGTAAAACGACATCGTTCACAATAAACCATAGGATTTGAGGTAGTTAGACGGATAGGAACAATGACTTAGTATATAAAGGAGATGTCCATTTGACGGATAGGAACAATAACTAAGGATATATAGGAGATGTCCATTAGACGGATAGGGACAATAACTAAGAATATATAGGGGATGTCAATTAGACGGATAGGAACAATAACTAAGGATATATAGGGGATGTCCATAAGACGGATTGAAACAACTACTAAGGATATATAGTTCCTATTGTTCCTATCCATCTAGTGCGCATCTCCGATATACCTATATACCTATATATCTATATACCTATATACTTATATATCCATATACCTAATTATCTATATATCTACATATCCCGAGCTATTGGCGTATCTCTTCTAAAAATGGCTTGCCCAAGTCTTGCTAAAAATGTATTACATGGTATCAGGCCTTTATAACCGATACAGCATTGTCGGTACCTACGCGGTGTATCTAGTAGTATGGTCATTAGACGTATTAGATTTTTGACCATAAAAGTTTGGTTCAAAGCAAACGCTCAGAAGATAGTGATGGATTTAAAGGGACACAATCCCATTTGTTTACATGACGGAAGGTTCTTACAACGTGAGGTATAGGTTATCCTTAGCGCAATAGTGTCTGAATCCTTATTAATGGTATCTCGGTAACAATGCTATATCAATGATTTGAAATCAAATAAATACATCAATGTTTTCTTCTTCATAGGGGATAATGACTTCCACCACAATTGATGGATTATGTAGGCGGCCGTTTCAGGATAAAAATTAAACCTATTTAAGCATCCTTAAGTAAAATCACCCAAGTGAAAAGCAAGTTTTTAGTCATAATGTGCATTTGTTACTTTGTTACTTGTTATTTACACTTGGTTGTAAAAAATTGATTTCATAAATGTGCACTTCAGTGCACATGATATCGAGGGGTTACTGTTCCTTATTAACACAAAAATCAGCTGTTATTTAAATAAATTAAGAATTTTGTCTAACAGCAAATTATTTTTTTAAACATAATGTTTTAGTGAAAGTCTCTATAGGTTTCCGTATGTTTTTTAAAAAGAAGATGGTGTCTTAAAATGATTTATATTTAAAACCACAATCTATTTAAATGGAATTGGTATGTCAAAACATTTCAGTGGAAATTATGCAACCCGATTAAGTGAAAATTGTGCCTTAAAACACCTAAATAGAAATACTTAAGTATTAATCGTTATTTACTTTCGAATGTGAAAACTCACTTACCTAAGGATGTTATTAAGTTGGACAGGACCCAACTTTTCTATGTTCTACCCAAGATCCATAAACCGGGCGGCCCCGGACAGACCTATTGTGTCTGCATCTGGAGGACTCAGAAGGATGCTTTCAGAACAGTAGACCATTTCATCAAACATTTAGCTCCTTCATCAAGGACACAAAGATTTTTTAAAATAAGATAAATGATAAGGGCAAGATACCATCAGACAAGTTATTAGCGACTGATGATGTCTCGTCTGTTTACACTGCCATTCCACATCTAATGGGCGCTGTTGGATAATTTTGATGTTGAATTTTAAGGGTAAGGATGATAGCATGTGTTAATTTAGTTCTTCACTTATCATAGTAAAAACGTGCAACTAACAAGGTCACGAGCCTATGAAATACACACTAATTTACAGACTGAGTATGATGTTAAGGTTGGTTGTACTAATCTTTACAAGTATACATTTCTTCACTTACTTTGTTATATATGTCTGTGATATATAGAGAGAAATTTCATATCTCTTATTACGAAATAACACAAATAAGATAAATTGAGGACTGATATAAAAAGCGTCTGACCCAAATGAGGAATGATATATCCTTAAATATAGCCATATTCAATGCAAATTTAGGAATACATATGGTATAGGGTGTCACATCCCTTGGAATAAGGTCAGAGGTCAACCAGTTTTCGTCAAATTTTTAAACATGTTAATTATGTAGAAGAATTCCTTGATCTCTTATAAAAACAAAATGACCCGAGGACTGCTATATCCTTAAATGTAGTCCTAGCAAATACAAACTAGACTCAGTATGGTATAGGGTGTCACACATTCCAGTGTAGAGGTCAGAGGTAAACGAGTTTCTCTACATCTCCTGGTCATATAGTATGATTACATATGGAAATCTTTTGTCTTTTTTGAAACTGACGAAACGTTTGACCCAATTGAAGATTGCTATATCCTAAAATATAGCCTTTGGCAAAACAAACTATAATATTTTCACCAGAGGATGTCACTCCCCCAAGTATAGGTGTCAGAGGTAATACAGTTTTTGTCCAGTCTTGTATATGTAGTTGAAATTTCATGTCTTTTATTACTAAAAATGTCCGACTCCTTTAAGGACTGCTGTACATCTAAATGTAGCCCAAGACAATACAAACTAGAACCCATATAGTATAGAATGTTACATCTCCCAGTGTAGGGGTCAGAGGTCAACAACTTTTTGTCAAGTTCTTGTAGTATAAATTGGACCCACGATAATCTGGACACCAATAGTCCAGAAAAGTCACAATTTGGATGGAAATGTTGGGGAACGGATTTCCACAACGTTAATTGTATTCACCAGTTCGGAAATTCGAATTCCGGTTCCAGAAGTAGTTTTTAGGAAAGGAATGGGTTTTCCATAGTAATATAAATTCCTGCAATAGTCTGAACACTTATTGTTATCATGTAATGAAAATTTATCGTGTTCAGTCACCCGTGCCACAGATGTACGACACTGATAGACCCTGTATGTAGTCATGGAGACCATTGCTAGTTACTGCGTAGTTTGATAGTACTTTTCTACAGGTACAGATATTTTGATTGAAGTGTCACGTATTGATACAATCCATGATAAAACATGATCAGATGATATACAATAAAACAATTTAAAAATGCATCAATACTCGGACATATTTGGCTCGTGAGACACTCTTACATTCGGCTTCACGCACGGTCATCGGGTGGATGATTATTTGGTAAGAAGTGTTGTTTGATTTAGGTCAAAAATACATTTACAAGAGAGAGAAAATATAACTATTGTATATCTAATTGTATTGAGGATGAGACGCACTTTTTTATTGCCTGTTTCTATGGCTACTGGAAAAGAACCACTTCTAAAATTTGATGAAATTCTTCTATGAAAACTATTTCGAACGTTCTTAACATAATAACTTGTTTCACTTTTATATAAGCGGTAGGTACGCAACTGATTACCATTTTCCCGGTTAATTAATCATTAAAAAATAACTCATCCAGACATGTTCATTCAGTATCCGCTTAATATCACAAAGTTTGTTTTTTCAAAGCGTTGACTGATCATAATGTCTGTTAATTTAAAGTTGTTTATAATATCATCACATTTCCTCCGCCATGAATTTGCAATAAGGTCAGAAGCCATTGTAGCCATTTTTCCCCGCGTCATATAGTTTAACACGTAGACCTAAAACTTCAATAATTAGCTTATGATGTGTTGACATGAATCCCATATCGCCTCGACTTGCTGTACTAGAGGAGTTTTTTGACGAGTTTAGAGACAACCTGCAAGCTTTATTCTGTATGCTATCTACATGTGTCCGTTTCGATATTCCCCATATTCCTGCCCCGTAGTATAACACAGGTTCCACAAGAGTACGAATAACAAATACGTCGAACGAAAAACCTCCAACAGATAAGAACTTGGTGTATACAGCAAATAGTGCCTTACTCACTGATTAAGTAACATTTTGCACTGTATACTTGTTATCCGTGTATTCATTAAACGCTAATCCTAAGTATCGACATGAAGTGTCAAAGTCAGTATGTTGATCCCCACATTTAAAAGCATTAGTAGATCTGGGGGAGTTATTTCAACTGAAGTGAAATACTCCTCCACTTGCCGCATCAGGAGTTTTAACCACATCCAGTATTTTTTAAAAATAGGTTTGGAATCAGGAATTAATGCAATGTCATCTGTGTATAGAAGTACTGTTATATTTTTTTCATTTATATCAA